GAATGACACTATGATCGAAAAAAATTGTAAAAGCCAAGGCATAGGTAATTGGATAGTTTCTTTACACAGCGGGCGTTGTTACTAACAACCTGGGACAAACAGAAATCTCTGGGCCAAAACAGGTGGGAGTTGACAGAGAGCAGAAAGTGCAGCAGATTTCAACAACATCGGTTCAACCGCCCAATCTAGTAGCCACCAAGGAATCCTTGACTGTACAAGAGGAAACTGTCAATAAGAACAGCAGTCCTATGACAAATGACGATCTGCTGGCTCTAGCACACCAAATATTGCATATGAAGAAAGACCAGAAAGAAAACCCGCTTGATATGGCTTCCAATGAAAATAATATACCGAAGGTGAGGCCGGAGCTGCAACGTATTTCAGAAAATCCACCTTTCGAAAGTACTTCAGGTGTCGGTCAGGCTGACTATTCATTCATGCTGTCAATTGCTCGCTACATATCCTCATGCTGGGTTGCCATGGTCGTATGGCTTACATATATGCGGAAAACGCTTGAGTAATTTAAAAAAGGGAAAGAAAAAAAAAACCCCCTTATCAATTTCACCGAAATAATAATTCACTTTTTGATCTTTAACATATAGGTTTTTTGGCGAATTTTTACGTTGTTATTATCATGATTATCCATTGCCATCTCATTTTCGTCTCAAGAAGTCCCCTTTGAGTAGAAGAAACAGAACTGGTCGATCTACCCTGCGGTAGTAAGTCACCCATCACATCCGAAAAGAAAAGTCAAATATGCCAATTGAACTTATTGATGCATTCATGTTCATGGATTACTATTGTTTGTCTAGACTAACATCGGCCATCGGCCCCCTCGTACGGTCCTCGGCGGCGCAGGAAGTTAGACCGAACCCGTCAACTGGTCGGCCAAAGCGCATAATACGACCCCGATCGTCAGCCCAGTCCTGTCATTCTTTAAACAACTGAGTGACAATAAGCGATATACTCACTCTCTACACCAAAAGAAATATAAATTATCTTAAAGAGGGAAAGGAAAAAAGAAAAAAAAAGGAAAAAAAAAGTCCTGCCCCGACTGCTTCGCCGGCAGCGTGCACGACGGCCAACCCAAGGGCCAAACCACCAAGCTCCACGGACTCGACGTATACGTGAGCTCGCCACCACAAGAACCTTCCAAGGGAATTGTTGTTATTGTGCCGGATGCCTTGGGTGGGAGTTTGTCAATAACCGGCTTCTGGCGGACCATTATGCCGAGAAGGGGAATTTCACCGTGTATTTGCCAGGATTCATGAACGGTGAGAGTCTCTTGGTCCTATTTTCTGAGTTCCAATTAACATATCCAAAAAAAAAAAAAAAAAAAGGCCATGCAGCCCCCTTTTTCGCTCTCACTACCATACCGAAATTATTGCAGGGAGGGTTTTGGGGATGGTTGACGAAGCCGTGAGCTCTCAGATAAAATCATTCCGAATGTCCAAGATTTAACTCTTTTTACAAAGGTACTGGCTTATTCGTACCTTGCAAGTAATGCTCCCATTCCTGATCCGCAACCGCTTCAGCAAAAGCTGGCCCATCGTCGAGGGCTTTTTCAAAGCCGTTCGCGAAAACGAAGGCGCCCATATCCCCATCGGCGCAGCGGGTTTTTGCTGGGGCGGCAAACATACCGTCACTCTCGCCCACGGCTTGTCCAGAACCAACAAAAAGCCCTTGATTGACGCTGCGTTTACGGGTCATCCAAGTTTACTCAAGTTTCCCGATGATATTGACAATATCCAAATTCCTACGTCGTTTGCGCTTGCCGAGGAGGATTTTGCAGTGGATGTGCCCAAGATTGGGATTATTCAGAATGCGATTGAGAAGCAGTCAGAAGAGCGAAAGGGCGAATCCAAGGTGTATCCGGCGACGGGACATGGTTTCTGTGTGAGAGCAGATCATGTTACCAAGGAGAAAGAACGGGCTGCGGCGGAGGCAGAGGATCAGGCTGTTTCGTGGTTTTTGAAGTGGTTTGCTGATGTTGAATATTAAGCAACATTGGAGTCTGGTATGTATATATATATATACATATATATATACGTAGTTGCATGCGGGCAACACTGAATAACTTGCCGACAGAATCTTCAATGTTGAGATGTCGTTTACACATGTATGTTATTAGGAAATAAATGACAGATAATATCAGAATCCTTTCAATTGTACACAGTAATGGCTATCTGAGAATATAACCAACAACTCTACTCTCACCCCATCGCCTTGTTAATAATACTGAGAATGATATTTGAATGTTGTTGTTATCGACTGGCTCTTAGAGTCAAAGCCAGCTCCGACATTCAACAACGGTCCGTTGGCCCAATGGCAAGGCGTCCGCCTACGGAGCGGAAGATTGCGGGTTCGATCCCCGTGCGGACCTAATCATCTGATCGACCTGATCGGATTACTTTTTTGTCGGATAGTTTTGTGCTGATCTGTATGTATCATCTCAAGGGTGCTGCGGAGTACTGATCGCAAATTTTTTCTTTTCTACTCGGTTTTTTTATTGTTCCAGTATACACAACTTGTAGAATTACAGCTGACTAACACTGTATTGCTTTTTATGTCCCTCTTAGTCCTTTAAAAAGGCACAATGTGGATAACAAAAATTCTTGGAATTCCACAATTTTCAATGTGGGCTCATATCAATAAAGACTAAACCAGAATTGGCCTAGCGTAGTGGGTGGAGAGCTGTAAATGACAGCCAATAATCTCCGCAACGGACCCACCTCGCGTCATCTCACCACCTTCTTGCTGTCGACTCATCGGTCAACTTGAGAACATCTCGTACCACTCCGAGTCAGACCAAAGCTAGGTCGAAAGTCTGGCTCGTGGGCTGTTATTCTCTGTTCCAGAATTGCAGTGTTTTGGCACTTTTTCTCGTTGGAGAGGGACATATACGGCCGATATCTTGCCATCATGCGACCGCTTCCCCGCCTTGTCTGCGCAATCGGCAGGCGACGGGCTCAATTGCACAGCTTACGAACTCCCCCCACTATCGCAACACATACATACTCCTACAGAGCATTCACATCACTCGGGTTTCGCTCGTCATCTTCGAATTTCCACCGCTCTGATTTTACCAGTCAGCCATATACCGGAAGCTATGAAGCTGGACTTCCCACCTCCGGTCCTCTGGGTTCGGCGCCCAGCTTTGGGGTTCCCAAATTGACACCCCGAGAGTTGAAGAGATACCTCGACCAGTTTGTTGTTGGCCAAGATAGGGCAAAGAAGATCCTTAGTGTGGCCGTTTACAACCACTACCAGCGCATCATGGACATCCAGAGGCAGGAGGAGGTAGCGGCGGAGCTAACGGCAAAAAGGGAAAGACGAGCGGCGATGGAAGCTCATCCTATAGAGAGTATGAATGAGGATCGCTCTCATTTCTTTAGAGAAAATGCTGATGTAAAGTGCCAGATGAATTTCCCGGACAGCAACGCACAATCAATATGCCACCTCCATTACAAGACTCCGAACACCATTTATCCGAGCACCCTTCGTTGACCGATGAATCGTCCGTGCTGATTGAAAAATCGAATATATTATTACTTGGCCCCTCGGGAGTGGGCAAGACGCTGATGGCCAAGACTTTGGCTCGCGTGTTGGATGTCCCATTCAGCATGTCGGACTGCACCCCGTTCACGCAGGCCGGCTACATCGGAGAGGATGCTGAAGTGTGTGTGCACCGATTGCTCGCTGCTGCTAATTACGACGTGGAGGCAGCTGAGCGGGGTATTATCTGCCTTGACGAGGTCGACAAAATAGCCACTGCCAGGGTTAGTCACGGCAAAGACGTTAGCGGAGAAGGAGTACAGCAAGCTCTCTTGAAGATTATCGAAGGGACGACGATACAAGTTCAAGCAAAGCCAGAGAAACAGTCGCCTCGACCTACAACATCACCCTTTGGACCGGGAGGCATGCCGGGCTCTGGATTCTCATCAAGTGGATCCGGTTCATCCCCGCCTTCTAAAGGAGACGTGTATAATGTGAGAACAGACAACATATTGTTTGTCTTTTCTGGTGCATTTGTGGGGCTTAACAAAGTTGTGATGGACCGTATTTCCAAGGGCTCGATGGGATTTGGGCAGCCTATTAGGGCATCTTCTGCTGGGTCACCTGGAGATGGCCGTTCACAAGCTGGAAATAACCAGACTCTCACACCTGTTCTCCCGGGCTCTGACGAAGAAGCTCTGTACAAAAAGCACCTTCCCTTTTTCACATCTGCGACTCTGCCCTCTGCGAACGAGGAACCCGTCTACTTTAACCCTCTTGACCTTCTCACACCCACTGACCTCCAAAGTTTTGGGTTTATTCCTGAGCTAGTTGGCCGAATCCCCGTCACCACAGCTTTATCTCCCTTGACCCACACCCTCTTAGTACGCATCCTCACGGAACCCCGCAACTCGCTCGTCAGGCAATACGAGGCCCTGTTCGACCTGTCCGGCATCAAACTCGGCTTCACTACGGCCGCACTGCACAAAATTGCAGCGAATGCGCTGTCCATGGGCACCGGCGCGCGCGCCTTGCGCACAGAGCTTGAAACTATCCTGTCCGATCCCATGTTTGAAACGCCGGGCTCGTCGGTCAAGTTTGTCCTTGTTACTGAAAATGTGGCGGATCGCAAGGAAAAGCCCATATACATGGCGCGTGGCCACGGAAGTCGTTTTCACTCTATGATTGCCGCAGAGGAGAGCGATTGGGAGGCTAGGGGCAAGCCTCCTGGTGGTAGTGGCAGTGGTAACGGTAGTGAGAATAACGAGACGTCCAGCTTTGCGGAGTATCGAACCCGGGCATCGTCAGGTCTCTAGATAATAGTGTCACGTTTCTGTGTATATAATTTTACGAATCAATACGATATTTACCACTACAAACATCTTTCGATTCTCGACTCAAATTACCAAGGTAAAAAAAGATACATATATATTTTTATACATATAATATATATGATTTTATTTCGCAAAAAAGGAATCCGATCGGATGATCGGATTCAGATGGTTAGGTCCGCACGGGGATCGAACCCGCAATCTTCCGCTCCGTAGGCGGACGCCTTGCCATTGGGCCAACGGACCGTTGTTGAATGTCGGAGCTGGTTTTGACTCTAAGGGGCTGGCTGCAGCATTGGATGGCTCTCCTTGGCCCGGCGTCAATTGAGACGAATGAGAATAGGCAAAGCAGGATGGAAAACCTAACATATCTACGTTTAAGAAGTGTTCGATATAGAATTTGTAATATAACGTAATATTTGTGTGCTTAGAACGTCGATTGATACATATGTAGGCAATATGTAGCAAATAAGTGCGAGGGCGGACGAGTAAGGTCGAAATCTATCGCCGCTTTTACGCTCTTCTACGTGATACCTCACCCCTACAGATCCCATAGCTGTGCTGAGCGCTCCCTGACCGCATGCTGAGCGGATGCCACTGCTCACTGAGCCCTCGGGGGCGCTCGCGGGGCAAGACGCCGTAGCCGTGGATACTAGACTAGGGGAGGTGAAAAACCGATCCCTCAAGATCCGCATTGACGGTGAAAGCTACGACTTTGCCCACCCTACATCTATGTTCACCTGGTATTTTCACCTCTCATCTCTGGACGCACTCGTATTGCTATCGATTAGAGCGCGTCGTTGGACAATAACCATGGCCCTCATTTTCCGTTCCAAGGGGGCTATAGAAACTATTACCTACACCTTTGAAGACAAGTTTCACCAGAGCGCCTCAAAGATAGGCTTGTGGAGCTGTTTCTCGCAGCGGAACTTTTCTCTCACCACCTGAACATGATGTCATGTCAATTCTAGGCCACTATAGACTCCATTGAGACACTACCTGTGCCTGGACAAGCAGAAGCTATCAAGTCTTATATGTTCCTAGCTCTGAAGACACTCCTTCACTATTCTCACACATAACCTTTCCTACCCTCGCTTCTTAATTTTATGATTCATGCAACGGACCTACATAGCCTGGTAATAAAATAGCTAAGATTAACCGTATCAATCATTTTCATTAGAGTGTTACATCTCACCATACTAGAGAATGAAGGTAGAGCCAACACCATTGAAATAGTTATTAAAGAGGTAGACATTCTGAAAAAGACAAATATCTTATACTTTTCAAGCCTGAGCATTGTCTACATATAAAAAAAGTTTTATATCTTCTCTCTAAATCTTTTCAAAGAGTTTGTCTTATTATAGATTACATATATACTTCCTATCTAAATTAACTGCCATCAGATTTTTAGAGAAGAAGGAATATATTTTGATTATAGAGTTAATTTAAAAGAGCTACTTAGTACTACCTCTTAATCTTTAGAAGAAGTGTATACGCTGATACGCTAATTCTGCAAAAAATCGCTTAGTTAAATACGAATATCTGATGAAGTCTAGCACTTTTAATCATACAGAGAGACTTTTTATAGCTTTCCAAGATGCCACAGAGACTTACATAAGTATCAAAGATTGATATAAGATATACAAGGTACGAAACCATCAATAATAGCTCCTTATGCCCCTTCTTATTTCCATGCCTAGTTTATGAACCGAATAATGGTCTCTGATCAGGAGGTCGCGAACCTTAAACATCGAAGGCCTCTGTTCACGGTCCATAATTTTTTTCATTTACACCACTCGAATTGGACGCTGAGCGATCCGGTTTTGATCCGGTTTTTATCCATGGCCGACTCTTAGGGCAGATGACTTTATTTATCAGATAATCTAGCTAGTGGAAAGTAATGACCAACACCCAACGAGAGTTGCGCTGCAGAAAACACGCTTTGGTCAAATGGGAAGATATTCCCTTCTTTCTAATAGATTCTGGAGTTATGTTAATGGGCTCCAATAATATCCGTACCTGAACATAAAACAGTGTAGCCTACGTGTTGCTTCGGATCCGAGCGTGGGACTATGTTAACTTAAATTCGAAGGACATCCCATACGATCGTGAATTTTTCTTTATACAATACGTCGACTTATAGGAGATAACATTTAGAACCTTGAGAACATTTGGTGTTGTGTTGGATCGCACGCAGAGGACTCTTCTGCACACTCTTGCACGCAAAAATTGAAGCTGAAAAGCATAATGTGGCTACTTGCAAATGTTGACGCGGCAGAGTCATGGAGGACAGCGCGTGATAGAAATAGGATTTTCATCTGGATATGCTTAAAGATTTTCTCGAAGATCTACGCACGAAGGTGGACCTCTTTATGTGGAATCTGCATGTATCAGACGACTTGCAGGGTTTTCTGCTCCCGCAGTGGAGTGCCTCTTTTTGGTTGATACCGATCGCATGGGAGAAGACTTGACCTCTCCACCTCTCGCCTAGAGTACAGATGCACTTGTGGTCAGTGTATTGAAGGATTTCTTTTGTCACGGGTGTAGCTGGCGTTGCTCGAGCAGGCCAGAACAATATACGATCTCCTATGAGACGGGATCGATGATGGCCCAGAGAGGATTTCGGATTATAAATTCTGGTTCAGATATGTCGCTTACGATGTCGAAAAAAAAAATTTCCAAGCGAACAAATCGATTCGCCAGGGATATACTAACATATTTTCCCCGTGCGTGACTGTCTAGAGTCTAACATTGCTCCCTCTATCGAGAATATCTTACAAACTAATCGCCGGCGGAGTGAGTGGCTCCCCATGACACGCAACTACATATCTGACTCGAGCCGGTGGTCTTTCCGGCATGAGGGCTGTCCTTACACGTATGATCAACGAAGCACGAAACCGAGACGACCGAACAGGGGATGGTGAATTTCAAATAATGTATGCTAACGAGTGCTCCTCATAAGAGAGTCTGTCACAATAACCGTGAGTTCAAATTCGTGGCATGGGCTTGCGGCCTTGGACCTTGAATTAGAATGAATATGCTATTTTACCCCTAGTTACTAGAAAACTATCGCTTCTTATGCTATATTTTCCTCAAGCGCTCTCTGTTTTAGTGGTCAATAAAGCCAATCACTGACCGAGGGACTCCTTGGAGGTCTTCAGAGGCCCCACAGCATGGCATGGAACAACATCTCTGACGGGACAACTTTCCAGCCAATCACGCATTGACCTAGAATGGTACAAATTTCTCGCAGCAGTAGTAAATTTTTGTATAGAGAATTACAAGCGTGCTCCCTTTCATTGTATTGGCAGAGTTTGGTTTTGGCTTGGTTCGGGCCGAAGACCATCCGGCAGGTGGGGTCTAGCGTTTCGAACATAAAGCGGGGCACATCCATGTATCAGACCCCACGACTAATGAAGCATATCTGTGTTACAACTGCATATTCGCTCTGAAGTATCTCAACGTTGAGAGCACACATTGGAACTCTTACCTATCGGGTACTATATTCAAACTATTAGGTCTCAAGCTAACACGGGAGGATCAAAAACGGGAGACCGCATTCTGACGACCTTCAGCGAGTGACAACGATAATACGATCAATGCGGTCTTCAGCTCCTGTCTGAAGTGTGAGGCTATAATGAGTCGAACAGAGCAAGAGAACCCTGATTCAACCGATCGCTACACGGTTGGATGGATTTGCGCTCTAGAAGAAGAATATGAGTGTGCATGCCGTATGCTTGATGAGGAGTTTAGTGGTCCGGAAATTGATGACAAAGATGAAAACACATATGTCTACGGTCGCGTCGCGAACCATCATGTTGTTATTGGCTGCCTTCCCGCTGGTCGTTATGGCACAAATTCGGCTGCGACCGTTGCTCGCGACATGGTACGGAGCTTTCCACACCTGCGATTCGCATTAATAGTTGGTATTGGAGGTGGTGCACCAACTAAAGATAAAGATATCAGACTTGGGGATGTTGTCGTGAGTCAACCACGAGACGGATTTGGAGGCGTAATTCAGTACGACTTGGGAAAGAAGTTACAGGACGGTAGATTTCAAAAAACCGGTCAACTGAATGCTCCATCGGCAAAGCTGTTGGGAGTTATTCCTGAAATGAGAAGACGCTATAATGATAAAAGGAAGTCAGATCGAATCGCCGAGCATCTCCAGCGCATGGATGAAGTGGAATATTATCAGCGGCCGATGGTGGACCAATTATACAGAACAGAGTATCAACATGTTGGCGGAAAGGGCTGTGGACAGTGTGACCCTAACCGGATAGTTGAACGCCCAGAACGGCGTGTCCACCGAACTATAGCTGTCCATTATGGAACAATTGCTTCTGGAAACACCGTGATGAAGGATGCGACTTTAAGAGATACATACGCCAACGATCCAGAGTTGAATGTCCTATGTTTTGAGATGGAAGCCGCAGGCTTGATGAATAGTCTCCCCTGCCTTGTCATTCGCGGAATCTGTGATTACTGTGACTCTCATAAAAACGATGACTGGCATAAATATGCAGCTCTAACTGCTGCTGCATACGCTAGGGAATTGCTGCTTGTTTTAAAGCCGCAACGTGTTGAGGCCATGCCTTCTTGGGCCGAACAGGTAGTAGATGAACTCCAACAGGGTTAGAACATCCCCTTTTTTCCTAGCTAAGACAAATTTTTTAAACATTGATACTGACAGCTTTAAGTTCGACAGGATGGGATCACCATTATCAACAACCAGAGGTACGACAAGGAATTTAGTTTGCGGTGCATAACTAACTACAAACAGCATAATCAAGAATCGAGTTGATACGATAGGCCAGAAGATCGACTGGGCAAACTTACCAGTCGTAGATGGGGCAGAGTTTGACTCATACATGGATCAACATGAAAATGAATGCCTACCAGGCACGAGAATCGCACTTCGTCACCAAATTGCGGCATGGGCTGCGTCGCCACAGGGAAAATGTATATTCTGGTTGAATGGTATGGCTGGAACAGGAAAATCGACAATCTCCCGAACAGTGGCAAAGTCTTTCAAGCGGTCAATGTCACTAGGCGCAAGTTTCTTCTTCAAGAGAGGCGAAGGTGATCGAGGAAATGCAAAAAATTTTTTTCCAACAATTGTTCGACAATTAGCGAACAATATTCCTCAATTAATACCTGGTGTCACAAAAGCAATTCATGAAGAACCTAATATTACAGCAAAGTCACTTAAGGAGCAGTTCAATAAACTACTTCTTCAACCACTA